CCGATCGGGTTTTTTGATCGGGACTTAATCGGGGTTTTTGATGCGTAGCGCGCGTCTGTGTTGTTCTAGTTTTATAAAATTTGTATGAGATTTTTTTATTTTATCAGATTATTTATCAGCATTCTCGTTATCCCATTTTTTTCTCATATTATTTGCAACATGAAACATTGTTTAAGATCATAAATAAGCGTTGCTTTCATATTTATTCTTATTTTGTGCCATGTTCGCGTCACGCGCGACATTCCTTCCGGATTTAAAGGTAACCAGAGATGAAGAAGAATGACTGTATAATGGCTATACGTGTAGCTCATTAAATAAGATTTCAACCGGGCATATTCGGCGTTGCTTTATGGTGTAATTCCAAAAATGATCAGAGCAAAAAGAACGTAGTAAGCGCTGAACAAATAGGTTTATGCTATTTGAAAAGTCGACACATTTCAAAGCAAATCTTTTCAGCGAAACTTTACACGTGTTATGCTAATAAGAAAGTAAAGAATTCATAATAATATTATAGTATAAGAACAATTTATTTGAGAAAAATTTATATCTTATGTATGTGGCTATATCTATAAAATTTCTGGTGTAATTCTGGCGAAAATTATTTCGTCAAGTTAATTTTTTTGTCAAACTGTGTATTTGTCATATGCTAATGAAATTACTGACTTTTTTGGCTAAAATATTAAGAAATATTTTGTAATTTCTACAGAAATTGCTTTAATCTTGTTAAATTTACATTAACATATTAATATATTCTATATTTTCAAAGAGATTTATACATTATAAAAAAATATCGAATTCAAAGAAATTCAAACATTTGACAGTCTCAAATAGCGATTTTCGCCGTGTAAAATGCTTTGTACTTTATGATAAAATATACATTATACGGATTAACGGGTTTCAAAGAAAATAATATTGCAAAATATCACCGGTCCGTCACACAGGCGTGATATAAAATATACGAATATATTATCCGGATCTAGAAAAGTAATAATTTCAAAGGTAATAATGTCGGGATATTAAGTTGGCGACATGGTATTCGTGAGCGCGTCGCCACTCGAGTCGAGGAGGCGAAGTCCAACTACTCATTAAAGGAGAATACTTTAAAACTAATTTCTTTAAGGCCATTTGTTCGTTAGACGTTATACTTTGGATTTCTCGCTACTCGACACCCACTTCGAAGTCAATTATTGGCGCTTGATGTCGGAGGAGACAAGACGGGGGAGAAAGAGAGAGAGAGAGGAGGGAGGGAGAGAGAGAGAGAGAGAGAGAGAGAGAGAGAGAGAGAGGAGAAGCGAAAAAAAGAGCTTGAGCAGGAAACTCAAGCAGGCGATACAAACCTTGTTGGGCGTTCGTGACCGTGAATAAAACGAATCGCCGGTTTGAGTTCGCCTGCGAATTTCCAAGGTCGGGTATATCACGTTCCACGGCGATGGTGTTTTCCTTCGAATTAACCCCTTCGCCTCTCGTCTTGCCTCCTTCGCGCCACGCTCACTTAACTCGCGACCGCTGCTTCTCATTCGAGACAATGGCAAGAACGAGTAACCGTTGTTTGCGCGAAAGTCAGCGACTTCCGAAAGAACTATCGCGGCAAAAAAAGAGACTCGCGCGGAATTAATGAGAACGGTATTTAACTCCGCTATGAGATCTGTGAGCTTGCAGGATTAACCGACATTTTTTTGTAACATTTATAAATATGAAAAAGAGATTAACAATTCTATTTTCTATTGCATCAAATCTGTTGCAGAAAAGATTTGTGCATATTTCGGTATTATAAATGACGGTTTTAGGGTAAAAGAACAGAAGTTCAAGTTTGATTTGTGTTTGTCTCTCTGGCAGAAACAATTTTCTAGTCATGATATATACATTTTTACGCATCGCAAAACACAGTCCAACGCATATTATCTGCCGACAGTTTCGCGGCAGGAAACCGAGGTATTATTATGCTTTCTTTGCTCATTACCGTCGTTACTGTCATCGTTTTGTTACTGGAGATGGATCCTTCTGACTGTTCATCGTATCTCTCGTGAGAGAGAGAAAGAGAGAGGAAGAGCGGGCCGACGGCCGGGCTAAGAGGCGGCAGGTCAGACTGTGTGTTTCGTTTGAAAATTTAATTTCTCTAATTAAAGTGCCGACGGGCTTTACCGGTGTGCATCTCTCGTCGTCCTTCCTCATCTTCTTCCCCCTCTTGCTTGCTGCCGCGTCCCCTTTGTGTCCCGGATGCGGGCCGCGCCTGCGGCCTAGCTTT